TTCTAAAGTTACGGATTCATAAATCACATCTAAGAATATATAATCAGCGACATGATTAAAACTATAAGTTGAATTACTTATCCAAATATCGAATTTTTGACGTTGAATTTCAAGAACGCGATTGTCATCCGAACCAGACCCTTCATATTGTAAGTTATAGCACTGATTAATTGCATACTTATAACTAATAATATTTTCCTGAAATATTTCGATCGGGATACGAATAGGCTCTGAATACCAATAAGTTGTATCATTATTATATTTTCTAAGTTTAACTTTAGGTTTTCGCCAATTACCAAGTTCCTCTATACTACCAAATATAACAGGATCACCGAAACGAAAATTAGGTATATGCACATGAAATGTGATTTCTAACTGTTTCACCACCATTATCATTTGAAACTCCTTTAGGCCCCAATATATTAAATTTGGTTATTTTATCATAAACTTTCTTAAAAATAGTGGAGTATTAAGAGGATCGTCATAATTATGCGATATAGAATCGTTTTGAATTCTTGAATCTTCTTCAGAATTATCTATCGCTTTCGTGGATTGTCGTTTCCGCTCACGTTCATCATCGACGTGGTCTTGTTCTTGCAAATTATTTCTACTTTCGTCCTTAAATAGTGCATTTGGTTCTTTAAGGCAGTTAGTTGATTGGTCATTAAAATTATTTTCAACAAAATTATTAGGATCGAAGATAATTTTATTATTTCAGTTGCGTTTCTTCCAAATTGGAATATCTGGTTCCTTAGAATCGTTAGCGTTATCCGATTGGCCATAAAGTTGGTCATTCGCCATAGATGGAGAGGAAATGGTAACAATGTAATCAACAAATTTTCTCTCTTTTAGGTTTTGAATCAGGTAATACACTTTAATATTTATCCTTTGTTACAAATGATAAACTTACGGAAGTCAGAGGAGAATGTATGTGTTGATTCAAACGCCGTCTTTATATAGTCACTTCTTTGTAGGTAGTGAAGATAGTGAAACTATTTCAGAAGTGTTAAAAATAATTTGTAATA